ATTATCTTTATATGACAAAGCAGAAATTTATGGACGGAAAAAGTCCATTTAGTTACAAAGGACAGAGGTTAATATTGACCAAAAAGGCAGAATGGTTGATCAGGAACTCAGAATTTTTCTGAAGTATGTATTTTTAACACCCACAGAAGTGCTCCATAGAGACCTTAACTCCAGAAGTCAGGCTCTTCCAGCTTCTTATGAAAAGAACATGGAAGTCAGTGTTTCAACTTCTTCATAACTGAAAATCGAACAGACTGAAAAAACATCAGCATCTCTTGGATCCCTAGTACAGAGGTGTACACAGGGTACACCACTGCCCTGCACAAGCATAAACCCCAAGAGGAATAGAAAGAATCACAACTTACCAGACAGAGACTGATGAGGAGAAACTTAGGCTCGACACGGTACCAGGGAAGAACAGTCCGGTATCTCCTATAACTATCCAATGGCTGTAGGAAACTTCTTTACTGAGGGTTTATCAGTGTGTGAGATTTACCTGTAGGAGTTAAAGCCTTTTCCCACAGTAAATACCAGAGAGAAAAGAATATCTTAAGGATAAGGTAGAGGAGAAAGGAACCATTTTGGAATATGCCAGTATACATGCTCTCCTTAAATAGGCTCTGCTATTAGGGGAATCTCATTAACCTGAGACTAACATGCTGGAGCTTATTAAGAACCAATTCAGATGAAAAGGTTCACAACAATCAGATGTCTTGGAATACTTCTTTCTCCAACAGCTACATTACATAATGTCCACTTATGAGTTCAAAAATGGAACCAGAGTATAGTATAGTGGGTAGGGCACTTGTTTTGCATGTGGCCTACCTGAGTTTGATCCCTGGCATCCCATATGATCTCCTGAGTATCACCAGAAGCAATCTCTGAGCATTGAGTCAGGAGGATGCCCTGAGCACAGCCAGACATGGCCCACCAAACAAAAAAATAAAGAGCTCCTGAGTTCCTGCTACCAAACACAACATATTCAGATAAATTCCCCCCTCCACCCACCGCAAAAACAAACAAAAATACACACTCCATAATTTCAAGAGACAATGAAAACATTCAGAGTCTGATATGGCCAAGAGATTGAAATGACCAAACTAAAATTTTAAGGCAACTATCATCAATATGCTCAAAGAGATAAAGTAGATGGTATGCAGAGAACTAGAAGTCCTAGAAATGGAAAAAAGAGAAACATGTTAGTCTGTACAAATCATTATAACAGCAAAACAAAATAGAATGTCTTTGATGGTCTTATTGTAGACTGCATGCAGCTGAAGAAAGAGCTTGGGGATATATTAATAGCATTCTTTGAAACCAAATATCAAAAAAAAAAAGTACAGAAGACAATATTCAAGGACTGGGACAACTACAAAAGATATAATATGAGTATAATAGAATTATCAGAAGGAGAGGGACAGACAAGAATATTCAACAATTATATATAATTTTGGTAGTATGTTTCTACAGGGATATGGGTTATATCGTCTAAAACTAATTTATTAATATACTGCAGTTGAGCGTATAGGTAAATATATTTTAGAAACTGAGAGCTAAATTTCTGTCATAAAAAGAAGTGATGAATAGAAAAGGGGGAGGTAAAAGTGAAAAATGTGATGTTACAACAATGTCAGAGGTTTTATTTTTAATTTTAAAAATATAGACAAATAAATATATATTTATTTTCATGGGTTCATATACATACATAGATGATAAAACTTCAAGCAACGGCATTCTATTAGCAGTGATCACAGCTAGCATCTCAGATCTTGGTTTGTAAATATTTTAATTCAATAAAAGGGACCAGTGTTCCTTGGAGAATTAAACTAGGGTAGGATAAAAATTAGATGAACCAGGGGCTTTATCCAATACTATAATTTCTCAGGTAGAATAGGGACATGTTAAGCCATAGAAGCTAACCGACTTGAAAGAACTCCCAGTGGCTAAACTTACAGTGATTTCAGCATGAAATAAATAAAGTAATGGATTATAACAGAGTAAATAAACATCATGAATCTATACTGAAAATATAAATTAGTGAGTATATTATAAATGTATGTAACTCTTCCTTTTAGAATTTTCTCGAGCAGGCCCAGTAAAGTCTCCATTGTGAGACTTTGTTGTTACTGTGTTTGGCATATTGAATACGTTATGGGTAGCTTGCCAGGCTTTGCCCTGAGGGTGAGAATTTAATTTAAAATTTTAATTAATAAAAATTGAATGCATAAGAGATAATCACCATTAGGTTGCCACAGCAATATTTAATAGGCAAGATTCACCAAGAAGGCAAAAGCTCAAAAGAATTTTTATGTAGTGGCAGAGCTAGAGTGTGAAACCTGACATAACTTTAATCTAGTTAGCAAGGTTAACATCACCATTGATAATAAATGTACACATACATCCTGTGATAGAAAAAGTGGCATCACTTTAGTGCTATTTTTGCCCAAAACGCACAATCTCAATCTAATCACTACATTCAAATGTGAGCTAAGTGTTCTATCTGTAGATAAGTGAAGACCACTGGTAACTTATGATACATTTTTCCCACTTTCTTCCATCAAGGTTCCAAACCCTTATTTCTACTTTCCTCAAGGGCAAACTGTTAACAATAATATAATTTACGAATTCACTATATCCTAAGTATATTGTATCCAAAAATGACTACTTTCTCTGCACGTAATTATACAGCTTTATGATTTCTCTGCAATGAAAATGAGATTTTATGATAAACATCAAAGCCTACATTTCAAATTGAATAGGATGATGCTTTACAAAATCCAACTAGCTAAATTTAGGGTAATAAAGTAAGAGTCCAATCAAGTATATTCTTTGGCTTTGGGCCCACCTCATTTCACTTGATTGTGAACAAAATGCTTTTCCATTCACAATAATCACTTGCCTTCTAGCACTTGGTTATTTTATTATGAGAGAAGCTACAAGTGCCATTTTTTGTTCCATGAGAGTTGCCTTCTTTTTTGAAAAAAAAAGAAAAAGAAGAAGAATCTATTTATATTTGTTATTGCTAGTTCAAGTTGGCCACAGGCTTGTTGATACTTTACTAGAACAATCGATCAACCTCTTCCTTCTTTGGTCCAGCATGTAATTTATACCCAGACACTCTAATTTGATTTTGAAATAATGTTTCTTCTGGTCTCAGAGCAGTAGTAGAGACAATATCAGTGATTCGGAGTGCATCATTCTTTATTGTTACAAGCAGAAGAATACAGCAATGTTAATATTTTGGTTTGATGTGTTTTCTGGCCTTTCTAAACTAGTTCCTTTCTGGCCTACTCTGTGTAGATTGAAGTGTCTACTCTAGCTTCCTTGTGAGTTTGATTAACGTGGGACATGAAAATCTAGAGGTGGAAAGAGAAAGATTGTTTTCTTACCCTTGTTTGTGTAGCTGCCTTGTAATATCGCTGGAAGTAGTTGCATCTTTATGAAACTAGTCATTTATTCTAGGTATGGATTTGGTTTTCCTTGGCAGTATAAAATTACCAAACCATCATACTTGAAATGTCTGAATTATTGAAGTTACATAGTCAGTAAAAGTTATGTCTTACTTTGAAACAATTCTATGGAAAAAGAAGTTAGATGGTATATCCCTAAAACTTTACTTGTTCTTACCATGGACCTTATTATCCAGAAACAAGTGCTTGGAGTTTTGGTGAGGGGTTCTTTTATTAATTAAGTTTCTTATTCACGGTATCATGGTCCTCCCGTTGTTCATCAATTTGCTCAAGCGGGCCCAGTAACGTCTCCATCATGAGACTTGTTGTTACTGTGTTTGGCATATCGAATACGTCACGGGTAGCTTGCCAGGCTCTGCTGTGCGGACGAGATACTCTCGGTAGCTTGCCAGGCTCTCCGAGAGGGGTGGAGGAATCGAACTCGGGTCAGCCATGTTGGCTGCGTGCAAGGCAAATGCCCTACTGCTGTGCTATCGCTCCAACCCGAGTTTCTTATTAGTACTGTTTTAATTTGAATTTTCATCATGGATATTTTGAACTGAAATTTGAATTTTCATCAATGAAAAATTAATTTTTCCATTTTTACCTACATCTAACAATCTGATCAATTTTCTTGTCTAATATGTTTATTTCGTTGACTTTGAAATGTTAAAAATTCTTTTTGTACTTGAAGTAAATAATAGTTCTTAGTGCTGTATAAACTCTTTCATACATTCATTGCATCTTATTTGCTAATATTTTGCTGAGAAATTTGCACTCATGACCATGTAATTTTTTTTCTTGTAATTTATTTGTTTTGAGGATTAGGATGTGTTGGCCTCATCAAATGAGTTATTAAGTTATATCCTGATATCCTGATATATGGCGGAAAATTATTAGTAACTCTAAATAAAGTTAGTAACCTTATTAGTATATATTTATATTCATTTATTTATATTTTATATACATTTATATATTACATATATAAATTAGTAACTCCGAATAAACCTGAATAAAGACTAACATCAAAGATATATAAAGCACTCACAAAGCTCAACAACAAAACCTTCAAAAAAAAATAGGAAGAGGTGGGTGACAACCACTTCTCTGAAAAAGACCCATGAATGGCCAACTATTCTTGTATGTTCTCCACCAGAATATTTTATTTGTTTTAAATTCCTGGTCTGATAATTCCAACATTTCATCCATAGATGAGTCTAGTCCCAATGCTTATTTGTTCTTACTTCACTGAACTGTTTGAGGCCAATTTACCTCGCAATGTTTTTTGTAAGTCTTAGTCAAAAGAACGTTGTTAAACACTCTTAGGGCGGGTTTGATGTCATCCAAGAACCCACGTTTCCCGTGCTGTCACTTGGGTTTTAGAGGCTAAAATTCCCTGTGTTTTTTTTTTTTCCTTTTCTCTATACTTAGTTGTTTTGGATCTTCCTGGAGAGTTTTACTTGACTTTTCCCCCTTTATGACCAGTCTTTTTCATGCTCAGAACGGAGAGATGGCGTGGGGGGGTTGCTTTCTCGAGTCTCACTTTGGCGACTAGTTTCCATCCTCTTGCAGCTTCATCTTGCTGGGGTCCAAGTAGTCGGACTCCATCACGGGGAGGCCGCTGGCCTCACGGTGTTTCAGAAACCTCTCAGCTTCCCGGCGGGCCCACTCGTGCATCCTGTAGTCAGGCAGGTAAGCCAGAAAGGTGCTGCCAAGGACCAAGAGCACGGAGAAGCCAAAGAAGAAGACGAGCCGCATGTTCCAGAGGTCCACGTGTGGGTCCTGGTCGTAACCGTGAGAGTTGGGGTGCTGCTCATAGAGGTTTTCCTCCACAGCATCATGGCCCTCCTGGGGGGATGGAGTCGGTGCTGGCATCCGCTTTCCCGCCACAGCAGCCAGGCGGTCACACCTCCTGGGAAGGCAGGGTTCACTAAGCACCCAGACAGCAGGGACCCCTCGCATCACTACAGAGGCCACACGCAACCTGGCTCCCAGACCTAACATGCACGCCGCCATGACACTTCATCTGAAACGATCCCGGAGGCCAGGACGGAAGTGCGGCTGTGCGCAAGCGCAGTAGGCTGCAGAGGGATCAATGTTGCTCTGCCCCTGCCGCGCTAAATAAGTCCCGGCCTTGAACTTTGTTTCCTTGCGCAGTGAATTTCAAATTTAAATAAATTTAAATTTCAGGAGGGTTTAATATCCTCACTTTGGGGGTAGAAATTATATGCTTAAAATTCTGATCAGGTGTTTTTTAAACTAGAGGCTAAAGATGATAAACTTGGGGAAAATATGATTTGTCAGTATTTTAACATTTCAGAGTCTTACAATGACAGAATTAAAGTATTTATATTCGGTGATTGATTGTAGACTCAAAGTAAACCAAGTGCACAATAATACAAATCAGAAGGGAGGAAGCGTTACACATAGATTTATCACAGTTCTGTCTCTTGGCGATGTCTTATTTATGATACTTTAAAAGGAGCAACAGTATTCAGGAGATATTCAGTAGTAATCTTGTGTTTGCTTTTCCTGAGACATCAAATACTTCTTGTTTCATTTCTCGGTAACAACACTCAGCATTCATGCAATATGTAAATTACTGTATCTTAATCTAGAGAATATCTTTTTACATAACATATAATATTTTCGTTTAAATTGAAAATGAACTGACCAGCCTTGTATATCAACAAATAAAATAAATGATACTTCTAACAGAAAGAATAAACTATTTTTCTTATAAGTTACAATATTCTTAAAAAGTACATTTACCAGACTACACTGCCATTTTCAATGCAATTTATTTTTTTCAGCATAACAAAATCACAGTTTAGTAATTTAAATTATTTTAGAAGTCCAAACTAAGCTAAATTGGACAGTAATTTCTTTATGATCAGGTAATATATCTGTTCCACTTGACTGTTCTTTCATTCTATGCCCACAGGTCCATAATTATTAAATATTCTTTTAGCTATTATAATTGCTTTCTTGAGCATCCATTTCCTTTTTTAATTGACTACCTGACAGGAGAAGTCCATAAATATTAAGACAATATTCTAACACAAATTATGACTTTATCATTTTTGATCACTGCACTAGGAGAAATCAATCATGAGACTTTATATTTAGAATGTAAAGTTTTCACTTTTTTTATAACTTTATATATGTTTAACTTTGGAGTCATTCCTGACTGTGCTCAGGGATTACTCCTTGGTCTGTGCTCAGGAATCACTCTTCCGGGGCTCAGGGACCATATACGGTACTAAGTATCGAACCTGGGTCTTTAAAAATGTTTTCACATTTTTATATAAAAAAAATAAATTACTTTCTGGAGGTCTTAAAGTAAGCAAGAAAGAACAATACTTTTGTAGCAATTGTTTATTCAAAATATTTACCCGTTAAAAGAATAAGAACCCAATTTCAATAACTAGCAATAACTAGAAATTAGTGTTTTTTGGCTGAGAGCTATGCTCTTAAAAAATACTTGCATTATCTATTTCATCTTTGTGGATATTTTATGATTTATAAATTTTCATTTAATTTTACTAAAGTCAAGCCCAATAAAAATGAAAAGTAACTGACCCAAAGCACACGGCTGGAATCACAAACCAAAGACACATTTTGGCTCAGTTTGGCTCAAGATTGCCTTTTTATCATCATTATGACTTCCAACATACTATTCACATCACATATATGGTAGTATCTAGCTCACAGCCAAGATTTTTTATCTATCTGCAGCTTATTCTAGTAAAAGAGCAACAATAAGGCAATCCAAAATTGTAGTATGAAAATAAAAAACAAACACATGCCAACAACAGTACCGAGTATTTCTAAGGAAAAAAGGAACAATTATTTATTTTTATTTCCAGTTTGTACTATAACATTAAAAATTTTAGAAATACTTTTCCATATTTTCTCTGATGTATGTTTTGTTCACTACACCTTTCTTTTTTTCCTCCTGCTATGTAGAAAATGATTTATATTTTTCTGTGCTCTCTATAAAAACACCAACATTCTTTCAGTATCAATTTTTTCATATCTCAATTGGGTAATATTAACTTTTTATAATATCTCTGATAGGGCATCTCTTTGAATTGTCACAGAAGAGAATATTTTCTTGTGTGAATGCTATCAGCTTTTACACCTTGTCCTTTTATACTTTCCTTTCTGTGTTCAGCAATGAGAAAGGTCAGTTCAATTTTATACAAAATGTATGTTTGCTACACAGTGCTCTTCCTGATTTTAAAAATAAGCTTCACAATATTGTTTAAAAGACTTTTTTAATGGAGTAAATGTAGATTCCTAACACAAATTTGGCAACGGTGGCATATTTTTTCCTCAGGTGAAATAGCCTTTAGATTATTCTATAATGGTTTCAAATGTTACCTTTAGCACAGTGGTGAACATTAATGAAGGTTTATGCCATATGAAATGGAAAGTTGAAGGTCATATGAAGTTTGATATACTTAATAAAACTAACTTTGAGCTTCATAAGTATTAAATCAGATGGTTATGAACTATTCCCATGAAAGATGGGGAGGATAACATCAAAGACTCACATTTCACACAAAAGCCTTTCCCACAGAAAGTAATAAGTCATATAGTGAGTGGTTCCCTTCAACAATAAATGTCACAATGTGCACAGTTTCCATCATAGTGAATATGTACCAGCAAGGGTGTTGTGAAATAAATGACACTGAAGAAACTTGAACTAGATACTTACTTTAAAAGAAGAAAAAAAAACTATTTTATTTCTAGTGCTTAATTTGTGCCAGACACAGTAACAACAAAGTCTCCAATGGAGACGTTACTGGGCCCGCTCGAGCAAATCGATGATCAACGGGAGGGCCTTTGCTTTAATTTGTGCCCAGTTCTATCCTTAGTGTTCTCTTGTATTGTAATTTTACTAAAATTCCCTTCTTAACCTTCTGCTAAAGGTGTTGGTACTATGCTATTTTCATGGGTAGAACAGAAGCTCAAAAGACTTCCTTGGGTATCAAAGGGTGATACCTAAAATTATCCTAGATATCTAGATTACCTTAGGCCCTAGATTATAGAAATAAGAGCAGTAAGAAAAGAAAGAAACTTCTGGGAAAAGTAAGAAGAAGTGGACAATAGATACATCAATGATATAAAAGGGGTGTGTGTGTGTGTGTGTGTGTGTGTGTGTGTGTGTGTGTGTGTGTATAAACTCAGAGCCAATAGCACTGCAAGGAGAGGAGGCAGGCTAGGATGGGAGAGAACCTGGGAACACTGGTAAAGGAAGGTCACACTGGTGGTGGGGTTGGTGTTGGAACAAAGTATGCCTGAAACACTGAGAAAAATGTTAAAATAATGGTGCCTTACCTTGAAAATATGTAAATAAAAATAAAATAAACAAATGTTCTACCTTGTCAGGGAAATTAATATCTTATAAATTTGGGGGGTGTTGGGGGTCACACCCAGTGGTGCTCAGGGTGCACTTGACTCCACTCTCAGACATCACTTCTGGAAAGGTATAAGGTATAGGGGGTGCCAGAAATTGAGCCCAGGTTGGCTGCATACAAGGCAAGTGGACTACCCACTGTAGTATATCTCACCATCCCCTTAAAAAAATATTTTTTAAAAGATACATCTATTGAATATTCAACTTCTCCTTAGATATGTGTTTAAGTTTGGCAAGAAGGGGCCAGTCATTAATCATTCAAACTAGTAGTGGCTTTGCTTCCTAAATATCCTCTTTGGTGAGCTTTAACATTTCAGATTTAGGTGCGTTGTTGTTGTTGTTGTTGTTGTTGTTGTTGTTGTTGTTGTGAAGAGAAGGAGTTTAGGGCAGGGTTAGGTATGGTTGGTATGTAGGGACAACACACAGTATGTTCAGAGACTATTCCTGGCTGTTTGCTAAGAACTGACCCATAGGGTTGCTCTGGGACCATATACAATGCCGGGGATTAGAAGGGTTTGGCTGCATGTAAGACACGTCCCTTATCTCCTATACTAATTCTCTGGCCCTTCAAATGTACTTTTAATAAATGGGAGCAGGGGGGGCACATACCCAGTGATGTTCAGGGCTTACTCCTGTCTTTATACTCAGGAAATTACTCTTGGAGTTGCCGGGGGACAATTTGGGATGACAGGGATTAGCCCTCACGTACAAAGCAAGTGTCGTACCCAGGCGTCCTACTCTTCAGTGCCCCTCCTACTGCACCCCCCCAACATGTCTCCTGAATTTGTCTTATATTAGCAGGTAGGAAATATCTGTAATCTTATTAAACAATCTCTAGACTTCCATTACTTCTGTTCATAAGGGAAAGAGAAGGGCGCAGTCACATATATAATCTGAGAACAAATAAATCTCAATTTTCTTTACTTATTTTTTCCTAATACGGCAATTACGGCAACCTTCTTAAGTCAATTCTAAAACAAAAACTGTAACTGCGGAGGGAGATTTACAGCATTGTTTCATAATATCTATTGTTTTGTGCATCAGGTCTAATGACAATAATGCACTTTCTAGATAACACCCTTTTCCCCCTATCTGGAATATTTCCTTTGCTTTTCAAATACAGATGATAAATATAAAATTGTAAAAATATTCAGAATATCCAAAACACGCCTGCCTGCAATGGCAAGCAAAAAAGTGCTTACATATCATATCTCCTTAGTCCTGTGTAGAGGGTGTTGTAACTGTGCTTCCTGCTCTGTCAGCTAAGCCCAGGAAAGATTAAATACTATGTACATAATAGCTGGTTAGCACAAGTCTGTCTTGGAGGCTGGCAGGTGTTTTCATGAAATTTTGCCCCACCTGTCACAGTACATAGCAAAGCCAGCACCTGGCAACCTAATAAACAGCAGACTCTTTAATTGCTTTGAAATAGCATAAGCAGCAACAGCTGCTGCCAACATTGTTAAGTAAACAACAGGTTTTGCACCTGCTGGAGCCAAATCCTGACCTTACTATCAACCAATCAGGCGATTCCCAGGTAACCCAGGCAGTCTTTCCTAATGCATGTGGTCTAGATTAGTAACTGTTTATC